CGAAAGGCGCCAGGAGCGTTCCTGTTATCTGTGTACGTATCTCAGGAAAAGTGCCGCGAAAACCTACCACCTGTTATTTATTTCCCAGAAGATTGCCGTCAAAACTGCCTTGAAAAGGTCAAAATTGTGCAGTTTTTCTTAGCAGAGGGTGCTGTCGGCTGTACGCGCATCCCCATGGAGGGCGCAGGTCGATGTTTCCCACATTTCGGAGTTTTTCTGCTGGCTCGTGGTGAGTCAGCAGACTGTGCGCGCGCATGAAAACTTGACCCTGTCTGTCGACACTGACCGTCGTAAGATGTGGTCAACTTTGTGCATCCCATGCTGAACCCTTTATCGCCCACAGCGCAAATCGACGATCCACCCCCATTTCAGCGTCCCTGCATTCTAGCACTTAGATAATCTGTTCTGCGGTCAGTTCGGCCCTGTGATGTTTGGAAGGTTAACTTTGCCGGGTGGAACGTCCCTCCTACCACGCGCGATATCTAGTCGAAATGGTAGCCAATACATTCACCAGCATAAGTTTAAAAATTGCGAATGCAGACAGCCCAGTGGCGTTCCAAAATGTGTCTCAGTCTGTTTTCTGCCAGCGGCAGCAGCAGTAGTAATAAAATATTAACGGTATTATCAGCTGCTGTTGCTGTTGCTGTTTTAATAGACAGCCGAACGATATTGATGGTGCAAAGTATACTGCAAAGTTTTCGATATTCACGACTTCACAGTACCTAAAATTTAGTATTGACCGGTATTAAGCGATAATTTGCGCATTTGCTATCAACTTGCTACAATTTTACTTTAAAAACCGTAAAATATACCTATTACAACTTCGACAGACACAGATTTATTAGGCAGAATGTTATTACCGACAAAGACAAGAGAGACTGGAATGGCCATTTCTGGCTTATCAGCCGTCGTCAGCCAGCCATACCCAACCCCGATGTGTGGAACACTCGAGGCTCGAACTCGCGACCTGCTAGTTAGAAGTCCACACCTCTAACCACTGGGCCACGAGCCCGTTGCCCTGTCGGTTTTCGATCGGGAATATACAATGGTAGGGGGCCCTCATCGATCGTTCTTACGGAACTCACTTGTTCCGTTGTGCCTTACGTTTTACTTTAAAAAAACGGCAAAATGTATCTATGGCAACTTTAACAGACGCAGATTTATTAATTTGCTCTCTAGACGCCTTTTTGTACAGCGGCGTCATTACCTCGTAACACCTTGTTTTTGCACAGTGCTGTACTTCACTAGGCGTCATTCTTAATTCGTCAACCAATGTAAGTTACTTCAGACTGAAAGAAAGAAATGAAATGCAAAAGACTGCCATCAAGCTCGTATCCACTAAATATGATGCCGAGATCAGTAGTCCCACCCATTCTAGCACACAGCCTCCGCAGCGCCGGCGCGAGTGGGTTTCCTGAGCCAAAAAGGAGTCCTTCTACAAGGGCCTCAGTGATCTTTAAACCTACAACGTCGTTTCTCCCCGCAGGTGTAAGACCAAGAAGCCAAACGTCCGAGTTAAACCCACCCAGATTTCTCTTGTCGTATTTATGTGGCGCTGGGTAGTTAGAAAGAGGACATCGTTCCGTCGCGCCTGGATAGAAGTTATGTCAGTCACAATAACGCGGTGAACGTCAGAAGAGCATGCAAAATGAAGCAGAAGGGTAAAAAAGAAGGGATTTATCAAATAAGCGGGGGACGCGGTTGACCATGCAAACATTCCCCGTCTGATGGGCTTAACTTAGCGTCTAGGTCGAGGAAATGGTAAGATTCCAGCTCCGCGCAGCAGAGTAAGGTGACAATAGGGTGTAGAACCCACAAATAGATGGAAACTGCAAAAATACCCTAAAACTCAATGTGACTGTAAACATCACTTATTATTCGCCCTTCGCTGGTTTGAAATTTCCTTCCCTTCCTGATTAAACGTAAACGTACCAGTGGTGCTTTGTTCGAAATGTGCTATACGAGTTTAATAGGTGACATTTTTGGATATTTTTTTGACAAAAATTACCATGATTAAAGAGACATCAAAACTGTATTGGCACACATACATCACGTGAGCAGTGGTGCACTCATGAAATGAAGTCATGCAAGTAGCTGAAAGAACTTTATTAAAAAGCAGCACGCTTTTTCAATAAACTAAGTTGATGTTAGGCTCCATTCTATACAGTACCTCAGCCTCGCCTAAGTAGTCCCTCTTATTTGAAGCCATATTTAATCATTTCGGTTAATGGCTTACAAGTCACATAAGATACTCTCGACTGATGGAGTGTGGACATCCTGGGAATGTCAATTATAACTCGGCGTTTTCTGCCTGTACTCAAACGCATCCTCGAGAAGTGAAGACATCCAAAAGCTGGAAGTCTTGGACAGCTGCCGGTAGGGATAGGGTGTAGGACCCACAAGTAGACGGTAGCTCTAAAAATATACCCTAAAATTCAATGTGACCGTAAACATCACTTATTATTCGCCGTTACCATTGTTTGAAATTTCCTTCCCTTACTGACTAAATGCAAACTTGCTAGCGGCGCTCTATTCAAAGTCTGTTATTTTTTAAAATTTGCTTTTTGTTTATTTTTTGACTATCGCGCTCACCCTCTTTGCCAACTGACAGCATACGATAAGACTTTCGGTAGAAAATTCTCTATTTTCTGTGTCTTCTTGCTCCCCGTCCTGTGTGTGTTGTCCCACGCGTAAAACTCCCTCTGCCACTATTCACCGTATGACACGGTGCACAGGCTAGCTAAACTTACTTGTGGGTTCTACACCCTATCGTTTTCCAGAATAAAAACAAAAAGTTTCTTTCTATCCTTTCTGTGTGGCAATCCGGTCCCGGACTAGGGTACTGTAAGACTATGCATGCGTCAGTAAGGGCAAAACACGGGAATGGGACACCCGTATTTTGGGAGGCCTTATGCTAATTTCCAGGGATATTAGGGTTAGCGTTAAGGTTAAGGTTAGAATTAAGATTGTGGCACGGGAGTACTTGCGTTTCCTGGAATTTTGTGTTGCCATGGCGGGAGAGGGATCCCAGTCCCGTGTCTTACCTCCGGAAGACCTAAAGGCACCTGAAGATGCTTTTTACGTTTATTAAGACGCAGTCCACAAAATAACTGGAAGTCTCTTTGACAACCAACTTATGAAATGTCGAATGCTGCTGTTCTTTTTGTCTTTGTTTGGGATGCCCTTTCCTATTGCATCTAATTTTATCTCCAATGGTTTCCTTTACAGCTGAAATGAATAACTTGGAGGAAACTGTGTTTTGCCTTGGAAGAGTACGAAAATTTTAATTGTTCTGAGATGTAAACTCTAACGTAGTACTTCTAAGTAATTTATTGTTAGTCGATAAAAATTTGTTAATGAATTTAAAAGCACTCAAAGGCTAATAATAAAGACGACTGTCTAGGAGACTTTTCACATTAAAACAGCCAGTATTCCATAAGAAGAAACAGCCCTTTTGGGCGAAAGACGGGGCGACCTTCATACTGAAGGCCAGGCATCGGCACTTTTATACCACTTCCTGTTTTCAGTTAAATCGAATAAAATCTTTTCAGAACCTTTAAATAATCGAATGATATAGCCTTTAAGATCCTACGAACCTGATTATACCTGAGGTGCCGGACATCTCTAGTTTGATAGCATAAGGAAAGTGAACCGCCAAGTTTTTTATTTGAATTCAGAAAAGAGCTATACCGTAATGAAGCCACGTATCTTCAGAGCAGAAGAACGATGCCTTTTCAGACTGTAATTCGGTCTTCTTTAATTGCTTTTATAAAGGTTCTGTGAATTACTCTTCTTCTTATTTTATTTACTTTGCGATTGATCAGCTTTCAATATAGTAGGTGACTACTAACCTCGAATAAATAAGTGATTACAGACTTTCGACTAAAGGAGGTAGAATGAAATTCAATCATCCGTTTGAAATATATACATATATCTTTAGATTAATTTATTTAATGGGAGGATCTCAAATGCCCAACATTGCGAGTTCGCCACCCTACTCGAATACAATAAACTACACAGTGGTTGTTAGGACTCGTGTAATAACGTGGAAATTCCGAAGCAGCCGAAAATAACCAAAAGTAGGCGAACATTTGAACATTCGGTAGCACAGTTGCTCAAGAAAATGGTATTACCTGTTATTGGCAGGAGTTGGCCAGATTGTCATGAAATAAATTCTTGATTAGTTTTGAAGAGTTCAGGTCAGTGACATGGTGTGAAAATGATCCTGGTTCAATGCTCCCAGACCGTGCTTGTGCAATAAATCTTTCCTCAGATTCTGTGGAAGAGGCGTAAAAAGGCCAAAAAATAAGGATATTTCAATTGAAATTTGAGAACTTTGAGCAGCAATTGGGTCTGCCGCATCGCGCTCGAAGGCTGTGTTTCGGCGTAACGTACACTCTTGTACAGGCCGTAACTTATCCAGAAGTTACTTGAAAAGCCAGGACCAACGTTCTCTAGGCTGTCTGTATGGGCCTTCCATACGCAAAACCCTCCACAATACTTATTCAAAATGTCAAACTGAATTTCTAGACAACTGTGAAGAACGGATGAATATCCTAATTGTAGGCCTCCCATTATCATTTACAGCGTCCATTTATACGAGAACATAGGGAAAAATATATAAAGCAGCCCGAATTTGTACTGGATTTTAAGAGCAATCGACAGTCCCTGGCCAGATACGATTGTCCAAACATCACAGTCGAAGGTTAATTACCCACTGTCGACCAATAACCACGGACGACGTACTACATCCCCGTAAAAGACACTCCCGAAGGGCCCTGCAACCACTAACTCTATCCCCAGCCGGCGAAACACCCCACTCACTGACATCATCCAGGATACTGTGTGGGAGCACCACTCTCTGCCAGCCGGTATGACTAAGAAGGCCTTGGATCAAATGGGGTACACTATCCGTCTATCCTATACTGTGAGCTGTGCTCAGGTTACGCCAGTCCCGGCGGTGAAGGTTCGAGATTTTTAGCTAAGACGTCAAGCAGCTAATGCACCTACTCTCCTCCTCCTCCTCCTCCTCCTCCTCCCCCTTCCCCTTCTCCTTCTCCTCCTCCTCCTCCTCCTCCTCCTCCTCCTCCTCATCCTCATCCTCATCCTCCTTACCGGATATTTCGCCTGGGGGCGGAATCCTCAGTACTAACCTTGTTTACTTGCTTAGTCATCCTGAAAAAAAGTGTTTCTTGGTTCGGGTCTTTCAGCACAAATTTCAAGGCTGACCCATCCTCGCCGCCCCCTCAGACTGCGATCGGATCGCAGGAGCACCAATCCCACGTGACTTTAAAAGTGAGACTGCAGCTGACAAGATATGGGCACGTTGATCATGTGACAACGCGCCTGACTCAGGTGCTCCACGCTACTCGGAGCCTAGGTTATGGCTGGCTGCCAACAGCCAGTAAGCAAGAAATTGACATTTAAAGCCCCATCGTTCTGTCGGCATCACTTCCGCCAAGTTCCCTCTATTGAAAATCAGTGGTTTTACTTGATCTCGTAGGACTATTTTATTTACGTAGCCCACTGTTTGCTTTTTTGGTCATCTCGATAATCAACCTGATCAGTATCACTGAGAACGTTCGCGCTCATGGGTGGAGGAAATGTTGTCGGGACAGCCTGCCTAAGGGTTTAGTGGACCCTTGGTCTTGCAATTCCTAATCAAAAATTTATCTCGCTAGCTGAGCTTAATTACCGGGGTATAGTTTTTATTTTTTTCACCTAGTAGTTTAAATTCACGTTACTTTTGACGCCCCAATATCCATTCTAGAACTATAAAGCTTTCCTGAACAGTTGATTGCTAAGGCAAAGTTGGACTTGCCTTCCAAAAAGTGGACCAAGTATTTGGAAAAAAGCACTTTTGTCACTTCCTTTGTCGAGATTGGACCGTTTTCCTCGAAGTCTATCGTTGGCTTCGAAGGCGAAGATCGCTTATGCTGCCAGTACAGACCTGATTAAAACTAAACATATCTTCTTCCCCTGGTCACCATAATGGTACAGACCGTTTGTAAAAATTTACTTGCATAATGCATCAGGCAGTAAACTAGGACTGTCCCGAAGACCCTATGCAGCAGTAAGACAGCCACTTTCAACATAGTTTTTGTCCATCTACCAGGTAAGGATCAGGTGAATGACCCCAAGCATCTGTGGCGTGGAAAGAATACATACCTAAATTATTTAAGGTTTTAGACCGACCCGATTATTTCGGTGTGGTGTGTCACAGTGCAAGGTTGTGTCGTCTGTTCTGGACGGTTTGGCGCATTATCTACAATCATTTCAGCTCAGAGAATTAAGAAGCAATCGTTGTGGACACTTAATGTTTATTTTTTAATTGTCCTGCTATATGTCAATGCATTAAAACTTTGCCGCCCAAAAAACTAATTTACCAATTATCGATACTTATTTTGCCATTCGTCAATACATGCATAGGCCCCGCTCGTAAAAACTCTATTACCACCTTTCCCGTAGAACAGGCACCCTTGTCTGGTCGTGTGTGTTTGGGTCCTTCACCCGATCGTTGCCCTCTACCCTGCCGGGCTAATACTGTTTGGAGGTGTAGACCAAAAGTTCAGAAATCTAAACTTGTCAGAAGTGCGAATCACCGCTCAGGGTCGTTACGCCCTTTGCTTTGCCGTTTGACGGTAGATCAAGACCCAACATGAAGGGTGTGAATACGCAGTTCTTCCTTCTCGAAGTCTGTGGGCATGTTTACACCTCCCCCCGCCCCTCCGTATTTTGGTCGCCGTATTGTCCAGACAGGTCGTAAAAGCAGCAGGACCTCCCCCTCGCCCCCACGATCGATCCGTCAAGCCCTCGCTACCTCTACAACATGAACAGCCCCGCGACCTGCCTCCACCTGGTCCGGGCGATATGACAAACAGGGCGCTTGTGTGTATCCATGTGCGTGATAAGCACCGCGCCCAATTCATGCGCGGTGGGCGACGTTTCGCGTTTACCCCACCCTGGCGCCAGCCCGCGAACCAATCAGCATCGAGATGGTTCGCGAACGGACAGACCCGTAGTGGACGCTCACGCCCGCACGTAAGGCGTAATCCGCGCGAGAGACCTCTCGATTGTGTGCACGTACTTCACGCCCACGCACGATGGCACGCAATAGGCAGACGAAGCAGCGGATTGCTAAATCGACTAGCACACTGCTTGACACTGCTGCTGCTGCTGCTGCCGCTGTTGTTGTTGTGCTGGCAGCAGAAGACGTGACACTCTGCCAAGTACACACACTTGCCTGCAGCACAATCAGAATCTGGCCTTCAGAAGACGCGCGCACACACACACACATACCGGCGCAGAGGCAAGCAAAACACATAAGAGCAGACTACGCCGCAAGGCGCAACACCCCTCAGGATCACCTCAGGATTTACTGTAAGCTGAGACCACTGGATGATTCGGTCCGCTCCCTGAATGGCAGCATTTCGGCCTGAAATGTCCGTTCCTGTGCGTCTCGAGAAGAGCGGCGGTACCGCTCACCAGCGTGAAAAAGTCTCAGCCAGCATTCCCATATCTGTGAGCGTTGGTGATAGGCCAGTCTACAAATCGCGCTCACAGTTCGACACGAGTTTTCGTCGTGATCCCCTCACCGACTACCCCGCCTACTTTGACAGGCCTGGTGATGATATATTTGGACGCCTTGAAGAGCCACTGTCGTTGCGTAGATCAGGAGACAGTGAGCAGTGGTTTGAGGATATGCGTCGGAGGTTTGACGAGAGACGTCGCCAATGGGATGAAGAAATGAGGAAAATGCGTGAGGAATTCTTCACACCTCTTGGCGTCGTCAAGGCACCCCGGTCGGACTTAAGTCGTGAATTTTCACCTACACCAACCACGGAACATCCTGTCTCCACGCACTATGACCGTGACGAGGACGGGAGACTGCGTTTTGTGGCTCGATTCGATGTTCGTGATTTCAATCAGGAGGACCTCCAGGTGACGTTTAGGAATGGCCAGATTGTTTTATTCGCCCGCAGGGAATTGCGAGCTCCCAACAGCACCAGCCGGAAGGAATTCACTCGCACTGTCGATCTTCCAAAGGGAGTTGATGACAGTCAAATCTCCGCTTCTCTCAGCCTAGACAATATACTGATTGTGGAGTGCCCTTTGCGCATGTTAGCCGTGGGTCCACCAACCCAAAACAGTGCTTCCAGTGGATCCGGTACACCCACGAGTATGGCCACATCGGGACGATTTTCCAGCAGAAATATGACAGCCTCTCCAACCTCAACGCTCTCAACAAGCATGAGACTGTCACCGCCCAATTTTCACGTGGAAATACCCATCGGATCTGACTATGAACCAGGTGAAATCCAGGTTCGAACCCTCAACAATCGCGTCTATATCTGTGCTAAACACGAAGAACGTGTTTCCAATCGGAATACCTTCCGTAACTTCTCGAAGGAATATGACATTCCGGAATATATTGATCCTAGGTCAGTCACTGCCAGACTGGAGCAAGGCGTACTTTACCTGGAGGGCACTCCGTTCACCTAAATAGCCGACCTGCCAATTTCTCGCGCCTATTTTTTATGAAGCGCTCTTTCAATCAACTTATCTGAGGAGTTAAAACACCAGCACAAGCAAATTCATATCGCATGCACCAGGGGGTCTACCGTTGTCACTCCAAATCCGAATGCTGTTTAAAGCCCGACAATTCGTCACCTGAGACGGTCCCCTCGAAAAATTGACTTGTAAATACCTCCAGTCTTTTCTGTCCGGGCCTCCACTTGGTCTTACGATGAGTTCGAGTAAGCATTGACGGTTTTTTCAAGATGCTCACAGGTACGGTCTGCTTGACAAGGTGCTTAAAAGCTAGAATCGGTAGAAGCTCATCTATTAAAGTGTGAACGCATGTGACCTCATCTTAAACCGCGTGTTATTGCTTTGTCAATTGTTACTAATAAAGTAATATATCCTTGAGAGACATTTTTAATGTAAAATGTTGGACAAAATTTAGAAATAGAATCGACCAGACCATTCTTGAGTACTGTTTCCGACTACTGAGGAAATATGCAGTGGTAAATTCAACTCCACTCCATCGCATTTCATCCACCGCCGCGAAAGCATTTGTCAATTTTTAATCCGCATAGGGAAGAGGACTTGGAAGGCATTCTCGGGGAAGAAGCCCGTATCTTATGTGCTCAGGCCGAGCGTGCAATGGGTTTGTTCAACTCGGTTAACAAACAGTCGAGTGTCCAGTCGCATAAAATTGTTGCCTTCCATTTTCGATGATTTTTCTTATAGTGCTCTACCTAATTCCTGTGGAAATTAATGCGCCAAATTGAAGAAGACTTTTTAGGTTTAATCCGAGAGTTCATATTGAATATTTGAGCTGAACTTCACCAGCTACTGCGGAACAACCGCGTAACATTCACAAACTGCCAGCCGGCATCCGGTAGCGTACAAGTACTGAATGCTTTTCAGTAGTAGTGAAAATGCGATTCCCAGGTGGCATATCTGAAGAAGAAGAGGCGTTCACCGGGAGGGGTTTATTGGAGGTCCGACGTTTCGAGTAGTTGCTTCGTCTACCCATCTTCAGAGACTGGAAAGTCCTGCGCACAGTCATCTCCGCGGCCGACGGGGGCGATTCAGGTCACGGTGACATGCGGGTTGGATGCAGCCACACAGGCCGCATTGGCGGGCCACGCATTGAACAAAGTGCGCCATATGAGGGGAGCTGTGTGCAGGACTTTCCAGTCTCTGAAGATGGGTAGACGAATAGACCACTCGGAACGTCGGACCTCTAATAAAGCCCCCCCCCCCCCCGGTGAACTCTGAATGCTTTATTATACAGACAGATAAAAGCCCAGACACCCTTGTCTAGCCGACCTTGTGCCATTACACGACGCATTTGCGAGGGATTCGGCTCACCAGTGGCCCCTCAGGGCTCCCGGATGTTGTCAGCATGGGAAATAATTCATTATTTATATATAAGTGGCTGCCTGTTGACAAACTTTAGATATTACACGGTTATTTCGCGGCAGACGATGGATTCGAGTTCAAATATTCATATTAACTTTCGGGGAGAGTTTAAAAAGCCTTCTTCTGAAGGATTTTCTCCAAGTTCACGCACTAGCTTCCTCGGAAATTAAAAAAGCAGCTGAGAATCTGGAGTCCAAATAGCGGAAAACACGGAGGGAACTCTGGGGGACCCACTGGTAATCCGCCCCTCCCCTTGCAGTTGCGTTACATAGGGGCACGGTGTCGGCGGAACACGTGTGTCTGGGCTTTTTTGCAAGCACCTGTGCTGTTCCTATAGCAAGTAACTTAGTATTTGTGGCATATCGCTGGAATGGACGATGCGACGAATACACAAGTCGTCAACTCTATCGGGATTGTTCCCAGTCGTCAGCTCTGGCGGAAAACGGTCAAGAGGCCAGAAATGGCAGTCCCACTGTCCACGATCTTTCCGAGTAATACCTTCTGAATAATGATTGTTTGTCGCCACGCGATCGCTAGTGTCGTCTTTAGCTCTGGGCTCGTCAGCAAAGCAAATGTGCCCATTTCAGTTAGAAAGAACTGGCGAAAGTCCATCTCATTTGGCTGCATATTCTTGTAGCTCAAGGGGTATGAACACTTGACTTAAAAGTGTTCAGCGACCCAGTAAACTCACTATCCAACCGCGGGTGTGTCAGCATCCTTGGTTGGGGTGCCACTGGTTGATGTCGCAAACAAACCAGAAGTGGTTATTCCAATGTTCTCTGTGTTCGAATGTAATACTCCTTGGTACCCAGTGTATCTTTGCCCTTTTCTGTGCGTTAATTGTATGCATGCAAATTGCGAGCTATACTCCCTACCATGTGCTTGACATCTCGAGATACGAAACGAGGGTCAGATGTGGTTACGTAGCCCCCCCCCCTGAAGTAAACAAACCCTAGCTACCTGTAATAAGGTGCCGAGGTAACTGTGGGACTGGGGGACGGACAGGCGACAAGGCCAAATGCAAAAGAAACGCTATTGGGGATGCCCGGTTGTACTTTGATTGGTTAAGAAATAGTTTCCCCAACCCCTAACCTATAACCATAACCCCTAGCCCTAACTGTTACCCTAACCCCAACCCCAACAGTATTGTGTCCATCAGGTGGAGCTGCATAACCGCAGTTTACCGAGACGAGCCTTATATAGTTAGAGCGTTAGCTTTGGTGCGGTATCGTGAGGTTTGAACCTCGAATACAAAGTCGGAGGAGTAGAACCTTCTTTGGAGGGAGAAGAAAAGGCGGTCTGAGGAGTGGCGGCGGCGGCCCCGAAACGTCCGTCGATTCTTGTCGCGTGACACTGCGTCCATCTGGCCTGGCAGTGGCTGAACATGCCGATACTGAGACAGCACAAGTAAATACATCAACTGTGGGCTGCAAATGACATTTAGAAGTGTGCAGAAGAAAGTCACGGAGGGCTGCAACCCTGGAGGGCAGAGGACACAAGCCTTGTCAATGGGCACGATGGACAAAACTGTGCAGAGGGGACTCATCCGATACGCACTTGGGTGGGTTGACCATGACGATGTACAGTGGGTGTGCTAACTCATGAAATTTTAATCGAGATTCTGAAACGGTTTTTTCGTTTCGAAAAGATTCCTTGAGTAGAGTTGTAGAATTAATCATCTTGCAGCACAATTATATAATAATTCAGTTACCTCGAGATGCTGGCTTTTGAACGAACTTCATTCCGGCCGCGTGCAAAAACCACACACTAAAAAATTACTACTTAGGCAATATGCATTTTTCTCATTGATTTTCGGTGTCCTTAAAAGTTTAGTTATATTTTATTGGAAAAAATGCATAGAAATATTCATTCTTGTATGTCATTTACGGCAGGCCGGATTCAGAATTATTCAGGAATTGGAAAAGTTTTTTGAAACCGAACTATATATTTTTTCGAGTATAAAATTGGAAGAAGACGTTGTTTTCTACCGAATGAGTAAGAGGATGAGTATTTTTATTCATATTTTCAATGAAATATGTTTGATTTTTTAAGGGCATCTAAAATCAATGAGAAAAATGCATGTTGCTTAAGTAGTCACTTTTTTAGTGTGTGGTTTTTGCATGCAGCCGGAAAGAACTCGTTCGAAAGTCGGCATCCCGAGGTAACTGAATTATTATATAATTATGCTGCAAGATGATTAATTTTACAACCCTTCTTAGGTTATCTTCTCGAAACAAAAAAACCGTTTCAGAATTTCGATTGACATTTCATGGGTTAGCACACCCACTGTACTTTTCGAGGCGATTAAGCGTCAAGGTGAAGTATTCCTTGTGTTCTTCAGCACTCCGGCTAGCCACCAAGAGGTCACCGTACACAAACAGCAGACCGTGCAGGACACGGTCGATGAACCGCAGGAATGCCCGGGCTGCATTGCGAAGGCCGAAGTGCCTGCAGAGGAATTAGACGAGGCCAAATGGGGGCAGTTACGATAGTTTTGGAGGATATCGTCCATGATGGAAGACATGAACCAAACTGATATTTGAGATAACCGCCTTTCAGAAAGAGGTATTGTGAAGACCTGAAGATGGGGCACTGGATATCGACTGGGAATAGTGACGTTGTTGGGCGTTCAGTAGTCGTCCACGGGCTCTCAGATGGTCCAATGATATGGAATTGCTGCACTTATTCGAACTCCGCCTTCGCGGCCTACGGACAGCAAGGTTCTCGTCGTCTGCACCGAGAGAACACGAAGGAGCCTCAGTGTGAATACGACACATATGCTAGAAATCTCAACGGCAGAATGGAGGCTTATAAATATTGAAGTGTTGGAAGAGGACCTCCCGAAGAGGTAAGTAATATCTGTCTCCAGAGCATACAAATTGCACGAGGTTCTAAAGAGACTGAGACCGCAGGTGACCGGCCAATTGTCAGGTCGAGTAGTCGGGCATCCCAACATTCCGCATGACGATCAAACTCAGCCAGGATGTCAGAGTCGAAGATTTAGTTGAAAACACCATCAATGACAAAGATTCATGAGGGCGAGAGTCAGCTATGAGAGCATGACAGACAGACTTGGGGATGAGCAAACAGTTGAAAGACTGCAGATAAAGACCAGGGCAGGAGCAGCCGTTGGGGATCACAAGAAAATATCTGTGAGCCAGGCCGCTTCAGACGTATAAAATGCGACCAGGACTAAGGGAGGTAGTCGCCACTATTCTCTGACTGACTTATTTCCCCGCCCTGCGGACTTAGTGATACTAGGAGAATAATAGCAACGAGTTTTAGTGCCAAAATTCGTATGGTACCAGAAAATTTCAGCTTTTAGAGGACAGACGGATAGATGACCGACGAACGGTGGTCGTCCACTGCACCGATATTTTATTTTTATCAATCATCAGCGGCGACTGAATGGGAGGCTATGTGACGAGGGCAACCGGAATCTCTGCACTTCTATTATTCTATCCGTCATCTCGAGTAGCCATTAGGCCGAGAGTTCTTCAGGGTCAAAAGCCGAGGCTGGACATCTGCGGGCAAGCGTCCTAAAAACCTCCCATTGAAGAGCTTATCATCGG